GTAAAAATTTGAACGTTGTATTGAAGTTTACGTTATAAAGGTGTACGTTGTAAACGATACTGGAAAATGGAATAATGCATTGCACAAATTCGGGACTTGGAGATGAGTAAATTGTAACAGTGTAAACGTTATAAACAGATAACGTAGCAACGAAGTGCGACTGTAGTTTTTTTTTATAGAATGTCTCTATTAATACACGGTGCACTCGCTAGGTGGCGCTAGTATATGATATGAAAGACTGAAAGTGCCTGTATATTATACTATATAATAATATAAAATGCCTCTATCAATATATTGCGCACTCACTAGGTGACGTTAATAGTTCATATGCTGGCATTTGTTACCATCACCTTACCCATATTGTTATGTACGGTATATGTTCACACGATATCACCGTGAAATCACACATGGAGAAAACGCGCCTGCAGTGGAAAACCATTCACGTAATGACCACACACACGCTGCTACATTAGTTGGTTTTCACGCACGAATCAATAGTTTATGTATAAATGGTTCGCTGTATACTCACACATACTGGCAAGCACCTCCAAATTCGAGCTTAACGTGCCTGTATAATATCATTTATCTAAGAATACACAGCACACTCGCTAGGTGGCGCTAGTAGATCACGCGCTCATTATTCTAACATTTCTACCTGCGAAAACTACCTGCATGCTTTATTTGTTGTGAATATTTATATTATAAGGGTAACGAGGGCAAGAGTTAGGATTAGAGCTAGGGTTAGGCTTGGGTTCAAAGTTAGTATTGAATATTGTTATAGAATGTCTCTATGAATACACAGCGCACTCGCTAAGTGGCGCTAGTAAATCATATGAAAGACTGAAAGTGCCTGTATATTATACTACAGTACATACAATCTATTATCTGAAATTCTGAAAACCGAAAAGCTCCGAAAACCAATTTTTTTCGTGGAGGTCGTCTGCACACCAAAGCTCGTTATTGCACTCTCTAATTAGCCAATCCGTGTTTGTAACGATTTATATCAGTCATGGTTCGTTAAAAACTGAATGCACACTTGCTGACGCCACCAGCAAACCCAGAGTCAAAGTGCCAGTATAATTTACTATATAATTACAGTAAAACTCGCATAAGTCGTCATCGTCTAACTCGTCAATTCGCATAAGTCGTCACGGAAGTCAAAGTCCGGATTTTCTCTCATAGTAAATCCATTGGAATAGCCCCGCCTAAGTCGTCATTTATAAGTCGTCAGTATGTACAAGTCGTCGCCCTCAGACAGGTCCCATACAACACAAACAACAGTAATCTCCCATCTGTACGTCATCAGAAAAGCCGATGGCGCACGCGCGCAGTGTACGCGGTCTAGGGGATGTGCGAGCTGGCTGTCGCAGATATGCGCTTACTACAGTTCGTTCCAGAGCACGGCCTCGCGGTATTACCGTATTTTTTCAGCAAGTGTTCCAAGAAAATTTGGCAGACGTGCACCGCAAATGTCCTGCAATGTCCAAACGTGTAATCAACAGCGGGTGCCGCGCTTGCCGCTAGTGCGTGCGATCAGTGCGTTATGGCCAGCAGCGGTGTCCATTGATGTACGGACCCGATTGTTTAATGTCTGCTATATATATGGCGCGAACTGACGTCGTGTGTGGAGTACGTTTATGACTGCGTAGGGGTGATGGGCGCCTGGGAGGGGAGCCCTACGTATAAGTCGACAAAATAACGACTTACGCGTATGTCGTAATTTTCGTAAGTCGGCACAAATATGCTGGTCCCTAAAGTGTCGACTTATATGCGAGTTTTACTGTATATAGAATCAAGAGCGTGTAAAGAAGGCCTTCTTTATATGGCCTATAAAGAAGCCTTCTTTATACGCTCTTGATAGAATGTCTCTATAACTACACCACACACTCGCTAGGTGGCGCTATTAAATCATGCGCTCACTATTTTAACATTTTTACAAGCAATAACTACCTGCATGCTATATTTGTTGTGAATATTTACATTATAAGGGTATCAAGGAAAAAAGTTAGGGTTAGAGCAAGGATTAGGATTAGCGTTACGATATTGACATTATAAGAGTATAATAAGGGTTAGGATTTAAGGATAAGTGTGTAAACAAACCCTAAACATATCTACAAACAAAGAAGAAAAAGGTGGTAGCGGCCTGAGACGCAAACAGCATTTGTTCATGCTTGCTCGACCCGTATTGTTTCATACCTTAAATCTCTACACGATATGGCTGTGAAATCGCATCTGAAGGAAAGATACCTGAAGTGGAGAAAGGTTTCGTAATGACTACACACATTGCTGCTACATATTTGACTATACTTTTTACACACAGATCAATGGTTTCTGTATGTATGGTTTGCAGTAAACTGACACATACGTGCAAGCTTAATATACAGTCGAACTTCGTTACAACGAACATCCAGGGACCTTAAGAATCAGTAC